TTCACACAAATGGTTCTTTCTGAACCCTGATTGTTCCGGTATAATTATATTTTGTTTTTCTAAGAATGCTACTAGTTGGCTTTTTACCACTGTTTCCATAATTTTTTCATCTGTGGGTAAAGTGTTAATACGGCGTAGTTCTTCTGGCTTGATCGTATTTTAACTTTTTCCACCGGCACTATTGTTGATATCTTCCAGCAATCAGGAACAATGCTTCTTTTAAGTGATTCGTTCATAATGTCCTTATATAAGTGAGCTATATACATCATAGACTCTTTGAAAACACCCTCGGACAACAGCTTTTCCCCACCATTTGTTTTTAAATGCGTTAGCATAATGTCCATTATATCTTCTAGTTCGATGTCATCAGCAACTGTATTTTTTTCAAAACTATCATTAATTTGAACTATGCTCTGCACGAAATAACCATTTAATACATTAGCTATATCGTGATTATTCTCAAAGCATTCACCGTTGAATATTATTTTTGTAATACATTCCCTGCTATCTGTCAGTTCCACAGCATCTTTCAAACATTTCCACATCAATTTCATGTTTCCTTCATTTTTAAGTACTTGATTTTCCATATATCTCTTCTTTTTAAATATTATGGTTTTTTATAGTTTTTTAATAACATTATAACCATGCCATTGGCCTGTGCTTATCGCAACATTATAGGAGTAAAATTTTCTCTTGTTAAGTACTGTTAGCTCATGGTCATACCACTTATTTCTCTGCTGTTTATGGGTCCTCTTCTCGTACGTCAGTGTTTGCATGGCTTCGGTCAGAATACTATTCAAAACTTGGACTCTATTTTCTATGTATAAGATTCTCAGCGCTATAGTGCTCCCAAGAGACGACAGTTACATATCTTCTCATTTTGAAATATTTAGTAGCGGTTACTTTAAAATGAATTGTCTCATGTCTTATATACACTTCCACACTCCGTTTTGATTTTGATTGCTGAATAATAGGTCAATTTTTGTGGCTGAATACTGTGTTATTCTCGTGTTAAAACTAATTCTTTGTATCATAGCCATTTGAGCAAATAAACTTGTAAGTTGGTTTGAGTATGTAGATGATATATTCATGTTTATATTAAAGTCTCCGACTAATAGATTATTATCTGATTCTTTGAGGTATCCATTAATTAGCTCATTCAAATATATAACAAAGTCAGCATCACTGCTACTTGGTGAATGGTAGAGCACACCAATTTGCCATTTTAAGGCACAATTTTTAATTTTTATAATGATACACCACATATTAGCATTAATAGATTTATTACAGACTATGTTAAATTCTACATTTTCGTGTATATACATTAGCACTCCACCAGTGTGCCTACTGTGGGAATCGCAACGGATTAATTTGTATGTTGTAATGTTGAGCTCAGAGTCTGTTATTTGATCTGTTGTGCACGTTTCAGAACATAATACAATGCCTGGTTTTTTTTTGATTCGATAAGACCTTCTAGTTCAACTTCATTACTACTACTACTATTAATGTTAAGATATATACACTCCAAGTTGCACCACTTGTCTTTTCGTTTCATATATGTTTTAGATTTTTGTCTTGCATTCGCAGTCTCTTTCATTGGTTGCTAGTAACCAATTTTTCTTTTCCTTGCATTAAGCTTCTGTTAATATACAGGGCTCATTGTGTCCATTGAATGGTGATTAATATCTAGTCCCAGGTTTAGTTCTTTATTTGCCCTTATACAATTAATGCATTTATTTTTTGCTGCCTCATTGCATTCTTTAGATTTATGCTCACCATGGCATTTTGTGCATACTTCCTTTCCCTTACAGTTAATCGACTTATGGTTGAAGCCTTTGCATTTGAAACAACCCAAGGCCTGCACTGCATCATACGCTTTACAGCGTTCCCATACTACATTTAGCCTTTCTTGAGCTAGTATATTCGCAAACACTTCCACATCCACTTCTAGTACTGCATTGTAGTAGTTTTTACCATTTTTCTATTCTTCGTATTGCTTTAAGGTTTTCACAATTGTTTGCCGTTTGATTCTCTGAGCGAGGTCATCATTTCCATATTTGTAATTTATACCAGTTACAAGGACTGTTGGTTTTACTTTTGTAGGAATCTTTACTTCATAATTATTTCCAAGGTTGTTTTCAATTGCATTTTTGATTTTTCCCCGTTCTTGCGCATTAGCACTTTCAACAATTACCACTCCGATTTGCCTGGCTACTATATTAGTGATTTTTAACTCTTGGGATCAACTTTTGCATTTAAATCATTTTTAGTTCTCTCTACATCTTGCTTTCTACTCTGCACTATCAGAGGAAGTACTTTTCTTAACTCTGGTAACGCTTCTCTTTTGGTTTTATACCTATTTGCTATATCTGCATATGATACCCTGGCATCAATTTTTACATTTTTCTTTAGTTCAGCACGCATTTTTTCATTCTCCCTGCTTATTGTTTCCTTCATTTTCTTATTGTCTTCTTTGTTGCTCTTAATTTCACTGCATACTTGCTCGCTTCGTTGCTTAAAACAGTCGGGTATTTCGCGAATTTTGTTTACTTCCTTCACACTTTTTACACATGTCTCTTGAGCTTTCTGCATTGCCTTAATTCTTTCACCAAATGCTACTTCTACATCTTGCAATAATTGCCTCATTTCCATCTCATTTTTCTCTACCGCGCTATCAAATTCACTCCTATAATCCGCTAACTGCTGACCGTTCTGGTTTATAACAACCTGCATATCCTTAAGGATGTCATCAACATTAGGGCTATTCGCGATCCGGTGCAAATGGCCTAGCATCATAGCATTGCAAATTTGTATTGCAAATTATTTGCAATACACAAACAAAATACACGCATTTGCATTTGTCATGGCTTGACAAATTTACAATTGGGCAATTCACAAGGTGCCGTATTTGTCGTGTTTGTCGTGAAGTCATGATATTTCATGACAGTTATAAAAATGTTGTTATTGTTTTGTGAAGAAAAATAACACATGACGATACAACTCTGCAACCTATGTTTATTCGGTGTTATGTGAGGTTAAGTGCTGAGATATAATAAATAATCGTAACAGGTGTTCACAACCGTCGTGTTTTAACACAACTTTTGTTAGGAAAATATAACTTCACAACACCTTGTGAATTGCCCAAATACCGAAAATCCATAGCATAAAAATGCTATGCATTGCAACTCTGGTTGACATTTATCAGCTGATTAAAAAAGTCATGACAGTTTAATTAAGGTCGCTCACAATCCATGGCATATTTCTGCAATTGTATAAATTTGTCAGCTCTTATGCACCTCATCGCGAATAGCCCTATTATGTATATATTGCAAACAATCATTATACTTAAACCTTAGCATCTCCAATTCCTCCAATTTATTTACGCTTGTGGTTAATGGTAGTATTTACCATATACACCTCCACAACGAATTGTCTCCGTATCTGTACGTATCGCACTCTTGCATTTGTCGCACCTTTTTACCTTCCTTTTATTAGCTCGGGATGTAAGTATGTAATATTGATGCGCCTTAAAGATGCAGCGATTTCTATTCTCAAGTTACAATGACAGTACGAATGGCAATTATAATAGGGAGATTTTAGTTTTTTAAACTATAATTTTATTTCCATTGTAAACGATGCTGCGCGGGACACTTTGTCAACCACAAGCACCGTGTATGCAGTTCACTCTTTGCCAGTGATATTTGATATGCAGGCGAAAAACCACTTAACAATTTATGAAAAAATGTCCTCCACGTCTCATTTTTACAACAAATATTATTTGTTTTAAAGATTTAACAAGAGCCCACAAAATTTACGATTCACTCATTTCCAGTGTTGCCAGTGTCCAAAGACACAAAACTAACGTCAAATAAGAATAGAAATGTAGTACAAAACACATTCACACACGCACAAGCACAATAAACACTTACTATATCAATTATTTTTTGCCTCCTTCCAATTTCAATTCACTTTTTTTTTTACTTTTTAGATTAGTCTCACTTTTTGCGTATTCCTTAATTTCCGTTAATTTAAATTCAGTTGAGTTTGATACTTTTCAAGATTTTGCCAGCAAAAATTCTTCTGACTAAATCTGACTACTTCGGACTGAAGAGTCGCTCTCACTGAGTGTTGCTCTGTCATTTTACAACGCTTTTATCAACTTGCAATGTTGTGCGTCCAGAAACTTTCAATGTTGTGGATCCAGAAACTTTCATTGTTGTGTGTCCGACACCATAAAAGCTTTGCTTTGAAAAGTTCATATAAAAAAGCATAGTGCATAGGGCGACATCTGTAGTGAATAGGGCGAGGTAGATGACATCTAGATGTCGCCCTATGTACTACGTTTGCTACAGCGGAAATAGACGACACGCCATTTCTTTAAATAAAATTAATTGGTGCTCGTTTGTATGTACATACATACGTAAATGCATGTGTGTGCACCTTTCTATTAATATCGTTGAATTATTTTAATATCTATTGCAAAATTTTATTCAGACAGGACTAAAAAGTAGAAAATAATATTTCTCAGTCCCATAGAATTTGTTCTGATAACTTTTGATTTTGAAATTTTAGCAAAAGTCATTATAAACAATCTATGAAATTGAAAATGAAAAGCGTGGGGCGCATGTAATACACTTGAATTGATATGAAAAGTAATATATGTATGTATGTATGTGGGTATATGAATAACGACCGCTTAAAATCGATTTCAAAGTTCTACTTTCGCTGTAGAAATTTTAGGTCTACCTTATGTAGTTTGACTATTGTCAATTAAATCGAATGCTTTGAATTGCATGCGCTCCACGTTTTTCATTTTCAATTTCATAGATTGTTTATAATGACTTTTGCTAAAATTTCAAAATCAAAAGTTATCAAAACAAATTCTATGGGACTGAGAAATATTATTTTCTACTTTTTAGTCCATTTATAAAAGCGTTGTATATTAAAAAGTTTTTTTATATTATTTATTTGCTGTAATTTTCGAGTTAAGGAACGCTTTTTGGACTAAATCTGACTACTTCGGACTTTTTCTAACTAATACTAATATACATATTTTTTAGTTAAAAAATGTATAAAAACAAGAAACGTAAATCTATAAGAAGCGACAACGCGTTACTTTGAAAATGTGCCTCGACGACTTTTAAGATGAGGGGTTCGTCTCCGTGTTGACTCTGTCCGCGGCAGATTTTTGTGGGTCGAATATCGATAGCAACGGAACTTCAGCTGCGTTGCTAGTTGCCAAAGCGATATTACAGAGGTCAACTGGAAACTTTCAACTGACAACTGCAGTTGCTACAAAGTCTGTATACAGGCGACATTTTTTGTGGTTGCTGGGAATGTCTTTGGAGCGTATTTAGGAGCGAAAATTGAAAAGTGAGTCATATATTTTCCTTTTTAATAATTTGAACGATATTAACATTTTGCAATGCAGTTTGCATTTATAGAATACGGTGAACATAACAAAACTATAACTTGAAATTTTAGTTCCCGTGGAGTACGCCCTTTTGGCGAAACAAAAGCGAGCACTTATTGCGAATTGTTTCCTTTATTAACTGAAGAACCTCTTTTAAAACTGCCGACACACCAAGTTTCCCAAATTAAAGTCATTGCTGTGGCACTTCCTTTTGCGAAAAATCGAAGAGGTGTGATTATTTTGCACAAGTTGTTGAAAGGTGTATTTTAATTTAGAAAATAAATAAATGAAGGTGTAAATTAGCATGATGCTAATTTTGTTGTTGTATGAATACATGAAACAACAACAACCATGCTATTTATGCTATCTATGCCCCATGCTAGACATTATGCACCGGATCGTGAATACCCCTATAGTATTCAGTGAATGTGTATCCCACGTCCTCCGCCAAAACAAACGCGTAAATAAGAACACAAGTTGTATCCGTCTTTCCCCCGTCCTTCGCCATCTTTATCTTGAAAAGTCCTTAAATTCCTGCGAAATGCCACGTCCTGACATATTTACGCGCATACAAACGTACATATAAATGTACGTTTACAGTAGGCTGCGTCTTACTTAACATCTTGTAATATAGCAGAATAGGCCTGTTAATGTACGATTTTGTGTTTGAAGCTTTTAGTTAAAAGTTGGGTACAAAAGACATGTTATAACAAAATACGTACACTTTTTTACATGCTTCAATCATGATAAAAAATAAGAAGGTAGAACCGCTGAGAGGAATTTTTCATATTCTTGACGTTTGCAAGCATTTTAATTTTAAAATTTTAGACACAAGCTCACACACACATTCTCATTTTCAATCTCAAACAACAACAGCTTTGAACAATTCCTTTTTTTACTCTCAATTTTATATGATTTTAAAATGTTGGCAAACTTCAAAAAAAAATCATGGCCGACGAATTGAGAGAACGGTTTTACCTTACTATGTTTTTATCATGGCTTCAATAATGCAAAATAATAATAAAATTTTTTGAATTTGTATACATGTTGTTTGAAGTATCTGGAGTCACCTGCAAATACATCGTAAGCGGTCGGTTGACAACAATTTTTAAATTTATGACCGAAGCTCGAGAAGGCAACCGTGTTGCCAAATTACATTAGTGATAACACCACTTATGTATGTGATTTTAGAAGTTTTGACTTAAGATCAAAATATCATGGGCCATTATGGGCCACGATCCAGAAAATAAAGGTCGCGCCATTCGCGGACCGCTAACCCTCTCTTCGTCGATTTGACAGCATCCACCCGTTCGCTGACGTCACACAATTCTTTTGTTTACATTTTCTGGTTCGTGACGTTTTAGGTTATTTCAACTTTACAAATTTACAAATTCGGAAGACTTTGAGCGTTGTTTTGTTTTTTGTGAAAACTGATAAAAAAAGTTATAAATTAAAGAAAAAAATGAGGTGTGCAGTGGTTAATTGTGCTAGTGTAAGTGCCAAAGGATCTGGGTGCGCTTTTTTTACTTTTCCGGCCGACATTGAGTTGGTGGAAAAGTGGATCCAGTTCTGCCGGAGACCAACGATTTTCAACGCCCGAACCAGCGTCATCTGTGTAAAACACTTCACCACTGATGACTTCGAGAACGAGCTTCAATATAAAATGGGTAAGTTGTACTATTTAATTCGCCAATAAACGCTTATTGGATTTCGTGAGGATGGTGTGACTCAGGAGTAAATTTCACGAAAGGTAGCCGCGCTCATCGTAAATATGAAACCCCCCGGAAGCTTATATTTTTCACTTTTCATTAATACTGCTTTTTATTAAAAGAAATGTTTTAAATTGTGTTAGGCTACGCTAAAAAGCGTAAACTAAAGCGGGGCGTTGTGCCGACAATTTTCAAGCCTGCTGCGGAAATGCCAGATCCTGACAAGGAAGCCCAGCAGCAAGTGTACAAAACCATTGTGAGCGATCTACTGGAGCAGTCCACTTCCAAAGGCATTACAAGTTTATATAGTTGAAGTTCTCCTAGTTATAAAAAAGTAAATTTCAGAAGCCGAAGGTCTTATGGGCCATAACCGCGCGGACGAGGAGAACTGTGGCATATTGCCAGATGCCTTGACGCCTCTGTGTTCCCCACATCGTGCCACAACACCTAGCAAGGTGTTTTACTATGACAGCACGCTTAAGGAGGTTGAGGATCTGCAAGAAAAATTGTAAGTTCAAAGTTTAATTAAATCTACATACATACATATATATATATATCTATAAAAACCATATTAAATTTTTTGTTGTTTATACGTATTTATGTAGACGAGCTTCATTACGCGAAAACGCTTTTCTCAAAAGCGAACACAGCAGGCAACAAAGCGAGATTGCGGCTTTAAAGCGAAAAGCGCATTTGCAGCAGAAAAGGCATGACTGGGAAGTGGAGTCATTGCGTAAGAGCTTGTCGGAGGTGAGGATGGAGTTGGCAAGTGTAGAAGAAAAGTTGGCAAAAATTTTCTCTGCTGGTCAGATCAGCAAGATGAAAAAAGGCACGAAGAGGCCAACTTGGACGGAAAAGGACATAGCGCAGTCCATTACGCTATATGCTGCAAGTCCCAAGGCATACCGTCTGCTGCACAAGCAAGAATTTCCACTTCCTGGAGTTCGCACCTTGCAACGTTGGGCCCAGAAGGTAGACATTTCTAGAGGACTAATTCAACCAGTTTTCAAACTTCTCGGAGCCTCTACTCACATGACCACCACCCAGAAGCTATGTGTTTTGAGTTTCGACGAAATGAAAGTCAGACAGACTTACTGTTATGATGTTTCGTCGGACTCAACACTAGCGCCCGTGAATTATGTTCAAGTTGCTATGCTTAGAGGTAAGTACTACAATCAACTTTGTTACTTTGATGTTATGATTTTAAAATGTATATATATTTTTAGGTCTTATGTCAAAGTGGAAACAGCCTGTGTTTTACGATTTCGATCGTAAAATGACCTTCGAGGTGCTAGCGAGCATTTTGGAGAAGTCGCAAAGTTGTGGGTATAACGTTTTGGCGATTGTGTGCGATCTTGGGGGCACTAACAGATCCCTCTTCAATGACCTATCCATAACAGAGGAGAAGCCGTGGTAAGATACCAAATTTACAAATGTACATATATACTATATGCTCAATTATTTAAACATTTCGTTATACAGGTTCATTTTCAACGAGCAGAAAGTATTCGTTTTTGCTGATGTTCCTCACTTGCTGAAATTGCTCCGAAATCATTTCCTTGATCAAGGGTTTCTCATAAATGGGAAACCGGTGAAAAAAGGAATAATTTTGGAGTTGTTGTCATGCACCTCCACGGACCTGACGATCACACACAATTTCAGCAAGTCATGTGAACGTGGCTGGACCTCACCGCCAGAAAGTGAAAACGGCTGCGAAACTATTTTCGCACACAGTTGCACAGGCCATAACGAGGGCTGCAAGTTTGGGCCATTTAGCAGATAAAAACTGGAACGAATGTTTCCAGCTCTTCAAAATAGTAAGTATTAGTAAATAAATATAATTCTATATGCTCACATCTATACATACATTTATCTCCCAATTGTTCACATTTTAGACAAATGACTGGTTTGATGTGCTCAACGTGAGGGTGCCTCACGCTGACTCAAGGAAACGGTGTCACGCTTATGGCTTAGCGAAGGAAGAGCAGGACAACATTTTGGATCAAATGACTGCTTTGGTTAAAACTATGAGGGTAATTGGAAGGCAGTCCCTTCTTCCATTTCAGAAAGGTAAACTTAGAAACTTATATGAAAACTATTAAAAATATTCAATTCTATTTTGTTTCAAACCCCTTAAATATATATGTATGTATATATACATAAGTACTTGTTTTTTACCTTTCAGGAATCATACAAAGCAATAATGCATTGAAGATGATGTTTGATGAGATCAAATCTCGCTTCGATGTTAAGTATGTATTAACATATCGCCTCAACCAAGATGTCTTGGAAAACTTCTTTGGTGTGATTCGTTCAAAAGGTGGGTTGCATGATCACCCGGACCAGCAGGAGTTTAAGTACCGCCTCAGACTTTATCTGCTTGGCCACAACAAAGGCGTTTTGTCAGACTCTGCGAATGTAGAGGAGGATGATACGCCGGACTTGGAAATGACGCAACCCCACTCACAGGTTCTTCAAAAATTGTATTCTCCAATTAAAATATATTATATGACATATTATATTCTATTATATTATTATATTATATTATCATATTATATTATACGACATATTATATTATCAGGTATATTCCTGCAAAATTTGCAAGCAGGCCCGGAACTATGGCCGGTTGAAGAAGCTGAGTTCAGTGACTTGGAGCATGATGGCCTCGAGCATTTAGCCGGGTATATTTGTCACAGACTCCAGGATGACATCCCCAGCACATCGCTCAGGAGCAATGACGACCCGTCGTTTTCATGGGCAAGTCACTTGAGCGAGGGTGGCTTGAAAGTACCCAGCTCTGCAATGATGGACCAAATGCGTCACTTAGAGTCAGTGTTTCAACCAATGAATGAAGATGGCTTGCTTATTACAAACGACTTTGTAAAAAAACACATTGAGCAAGCCTCGGATATCCATTGCGATATTAAAGTAAAAAAATTATTTTTCAGGGCAAGAATGTTCTTTAAAATAAGAAAACTAAACAAAGAACTCATAGAAAATGCCCACAGTAAAAAAAAAGAAAATATAAAAAAATATTGACTTAAGTGCATTTGGTACCATCAACAAATAAGCAAGGTATGCAGCAGGCCTGGTAAGTGAATAAATTTTATATTTTTATATAAATAAAATGACATAGTGAGCTATAAATTTACATATTGCAAAAACATTACCAAAATTCTTTTCTTGCTAGCTTTAGGGTCAACATCAACATCTGGAGTACGTGCACTCATGTGATCAGAAGTGAAATATACCTAAGATGAATGCGTAGAATGCCTCCCGTAAGGAAATGGTTCATTAATTGCATAGCAATATAAATTCATTTAATTACAGGTAAATGCTCTTGATACACCAAAAGGCCCTTTTCAGGGCCGCCACGAATTGCTAAAGTGATCAAATTTTTTGCAAACATTAGCTTCCCTGTGTTTGTATACATAAAGGGCCCTTTTCAG